GAAGAGTTATGACAATAGTCACAAACTTTCATGGGGGTGGGAGGAGAAAAGGTATTGCCTAGCTTTAAACCCAAGACATCACAAAGAGGGCAGACCATTTGGTTACCAAGTTGATTGGCTGTTCCAGATCACTCTAAAATTGGAAGGTTTCAATACACTGGGAAATTATATATATATATATATATGTATGTATGTATGCATTTTCTTTTCCATGATATTTCCTAATGTGCTTCAGATGTAATCTTCTTTTTCTTTTAATTGTATTAAACTCTGTGGCATATGCTTTGTTTTTATCATTGTTTTCTATGACGGAAAGTGCATTTGTTATGCTTGTTAAGTTGTTTCAATCCCCCACTTTCCCTGGCCAGAGATTTCATTTGCTTCATTTTCCTTTTAGTCTAATGCCATGGTGTATAGCGAGTGTGTTTTTCTATAATTGTCAGTGCCTTCCATTATGTATTTCAGGCAAAGCTGCAAAATGAAATGAACCTTCGCAAGAAAGCTGAGTCTTCAGCTGTGTCAGCTGGGGAGAAAGCAACCCTTTTAGAGGGAAAATTTGGCCAGCTTTCTGAAAGCAGTGAAAGAGAAAAAAAGCGTCTTCACAATGAGCTTGCTCAGCTGAAAAGTGAATCAAAGCTTTCTATTTCTAGAATAAGTGCAGATGTGAGTAGCTTGAATTGTTTACTTAACTGATAATAAACTTGAGCAAAGATCTATGCTAGTTTAACTTTCACTTTTTCTGATTTGTAGCTTGAAAGAATGGAATGCAGAGCTAAAATTGCTGAGGAAGAATCAGATCTTTTGAAAGAGCAGCTTGAGGATCTTAAGAAACAACTTAATGAGGTTTGACTTTGGAGTGCTTTTATTCTGTCCTCGTTAATTACATACTAACTGGATTTATTACTTTATATCACATGCATTGTATTCATGACGTCCATGTCCATGTGATTATGACTCATGATCTTGCTGTTTTATCATCCTTGGTTTCTGAATGAGATTTCATGTTTTGGTATTATTATGACTGATTGACTTTCATTTCTTCAATTGATTTTAGATTTCAACTGACATGTCAGCTCAAGAAGCAAAGCATTCAAGTTGTTCTGGATGTACATTAACATTAGAAATATGCTATCCAATTCTGTCTTGAGATGCAAAAACAGAATGAATTGTCTTTGACATTCTATCATTTTATTTCCAAATGTCATTCACTGCGCTTCTTTTTCGCAGTGCTTGCTCCAGAAAAGAGAAGCAGAGAAGAAGTTATCAAGTTTTACACTTCAGGATGTTACTTCTGCAGGGAATAATATTTTGGTTAAGCACCTTCAAGAGGAGCTTAGAAATTATGTAAGTTTGGTTTTCAACTCATGTTTTGCTCCTTTCGTTGGATGAAAATTTTTGCTGTCAGCTACATTGGCTTCATTTACCACCCAGATTAGGCCGTACTCTTAACATTCTAATCCTAATTTACTGGATATCTCCGTACTTGCAAACCCTAGAAAACCTTGGTTTGTTGTCTTTGCCTAACCCACTGCACAGCCCAAGTAAACATATTACTTCAGTCTGTTCTGTTTCTTAACTGGACATCCCAAGTGGACATAACACTTGAAGATATGCTGTGTTTGTGTCTGTTTAGAAAATAACAAGGTTACTTAAAAATTATTATTTCAGGATCCTTGCAAGTATTGGTAGCTTATCACACTCAATTTCACATCTAATTGCTCTTTTTTTTAAATGAGTTCTTTGCTAGGAGTCTGAGGTACAGGAAGCAAGAAAATTGAAATCCTCTCATGAGAACATTGAGCTATTAAAAGAAAAATTACTGGAAGAGAAGGGCCACAGGGAAAGGGCAGAGTCACAACTGTCTAAATCACATGAACTCCAGCTAAGTTTGAACAATTTGGAGAACGAATTGTCATCTTGGAAGCTGATGATGAAAGACATTCCTGGGGTATCATGCCCTCAAGATATTCCTGTCAAATTTGCTGCTTTGCAAAAGTATGCAAATGGCTGGATTTTGATACTTCTGTGTAATAGCAAGCATGTTCTCTTGTCTGCTGATGTTCATACTCTCTGTTTGATGCAGGGAGGTAATAGATAGTACAATGAAGGTAGGCAAGGCAAATGCATGCTTAAAACAAATGGAGGTCAGTCTGGATGCTGCACAACTTGGTAAACAGAATGCTGAAGCTGAGGCTGCATTGGGTAAAGAGAAGGCAGAAGTATCAAAATCAGAGATCAAGAGGATTGAACTGATGGTAACTATTACAATGCCATTATTATTGTGCATGTGCTGCATATATTTCTATGTATTTTCCCTTTTTCTTTTTTGTTTTCCCATTCAAGTTTAATTTCTAAATATCAAGGGTCATTTTGGATTGTGAATTGCAGCTTTCTATGGTTACTGATGAGAGAGATAAGTTGAGAAGTGTCATTAATAAATTAAAGTGGCCTAAGAATGAGGAAATGGGAGATGAAGCAGCCCAAAAGACTGTTGTCCAGGTCCTGGATTTCTCTTGCTATTTCATCACTTTAAAATGCCTTGTCCTGCATCTTACCCTCCTAATCATGCTCTTTCTCCTAGTAATATTTGTTCATCACTTGGTTTTTACTTGCAGGAGCTTGAATTATCTTTTGTTAAGAAGGAATCTGTTATCAAAGAGTTGGAGAATAATTTATGTCAACAAAAAGAACTCAATAATCGTCAACATAATGAAATTAAGTTGCTGAATGAAAGGCTCAATAATGAGGCAAGGAGAATCAAATCACTTGAAAGAGAGGGTGACCAACTTCGTTCAGAGATTTCACTATTGGAGTCCAAGGTAGGTGAGCATATTTTAAGCACAGATTTACTCACAACAGGAGAGAAAAATTATATATGAAATTCACTCATGTACAGAAATGTTCCTTTATGTCTATGCACACATGTACATCTTGTAAACTCGTCAGTAACTTGAATAACCCTGTATGGTTGTAGGTGCTTAACTATTATTACTTTTTTTTTTTTTTTTTTTTTGGCTTTGACTTACAGTAACAATTTTTTATGGTTTTCCTTCCAAAGTTGGGTCAGGGCGAATTTTCCTGTGCAAATACCAAAGTTCTGCGAATGGTGAATACTCTAGGGGTAGATAATGAGGCAAAACGAACAATAGAGGCCTTACAAACTGAGTTACAGAAGACAAAGGAAAGGTTGCAGGCTGTAGAAGAATTGAAAAGTCAGCCAGGTAACAAACACTATTGTTATCTGCTGATAGATAGAATTAATCCCTAGTACTGTTATTGTGTTTCCACGTTTCTTTTCTTTATGGGCTCTTGTCACAAATCTTTTCTTTGTAGTCAGTCATTGCTAAGCAATTAATTATAGAATCAATTGATGAGTTCATGTATTTTCTAATTTGTTTGTTAATAATTCAGGGGATACTGGGAAGCTGGTTGACTCCTATATATCTGAGAAAATATTGAAATTAAAAGAACAAATTGCTACGCTTGAAAAACGTGAAGAAAGGTGAGTCATTGACGTAAATATTTTGGTAATCTCTGTATATTTGTTGTCAGTTTCTTTGTCACTGAAATATCAAAATCATGCCATGAAACAGATACAAGACTGTCTTTGCAGATCGAATTTCAGTTTTCAGGAGGGCATGTTGTGAGCTATTTGGTTACAAGGTATATAATCTATGAACCTGGCTCTTTGCCCATTCAGTTCTTGAATCTGTTACCGGTGATTGCCATAACATTATAACTTAAAACAAGCAACCTTCATACCTAACTGAAAGCATACCATCTTGATTTTGTGATCTTCCTTCTCCTAACCCCTTTTTGCTGCCCATGTCACTTCATCATCATCATCAACTCTCTTCTTCATTTCTAGGAAATGCATTGTTGAAATGGAGCATCCTTATACATACTTCCATTTTTGTTACTTTTTTGGCAGATTGTAATGGATGAGCACCAGCGGCCTAATGGAATTCCAGTGACACATTTTAAGCTTCAATCAATTTATGCTCAAAGTGATGATGAGAAGCTTGAATTTGAATATGAATCTGGGAATACAAACATTTTGGTAAGTTCTAGCAGGATGCGAAGTTTGAAATTTTAAAATTGGTAATTGTGGGAGGCTATTTTGTCTTGCTTAAATTGATCTAATCTACTTCAACGGGATGTGTAAATATGGTATCCTACCGTTTGATTTCGATTTGATAGAACAAAAAGAAAGAAGAGGTGTAAAGTATATTCGTTTTTGATTTAACAGGCAAATGATTATACCTCTCAGCCTGAGATATCTCGTCAGGTATAAAGCTCAATGTGTGGTAATTTTGTGGTTTGTCACTGGAACTGCAATTGGTTTTAATTTGTATCATTTTTGTTATGGTAACTTACTTGAAGTATTGCGTTTTTGCAGATTGAGATTTTTATTCGGAAGATGAATTCAATTCCAGCTTTCACTGCCAACTTAACGGTGGAGTCTTTTAACAAGCGAACTCTATCTTAAGTTATAAGAAAGCAATTTTCGTATCAGAAATGGGTTTATTATTGTTGTTGTTTTCCAAGAAATGTATCACCAACATTATACTTCCCATTTCACCAATTCTCCGTTGGACTGGGGATAATTTCCCAACCATGGCATGATTGTTTGAAATCCTTTTGGGATCTTGTACCATTTATTTTTGTTGCTAGTATGTATTTTAAACATAAATGGTTTAAATAATTTAATAATAATTTTTTTTTTTTTATAAAAGTAAATAAAAAATTTTGAGTTTAAGTTGTATGATTTGTAAATGTAAAAATAAGAAATATATGTATACTAGATATTTAGCATATTAATATTGATGTTGGATTCATTAGTGAATACTCTTTCAAAAAACAATAAATTATTTTTTAAGCCAAAACAAGATGCTGTTAAAAGAAAAATATAAGTTTGAAAATGATACAGTAAAATAAATAAAAATAGAAAAAAAAGGGAAAAAGCAGAAACAGAAGGGGGCTGAGTTGGCCTTGGAGTCCAGTTGTCTAAACAAATCCAACTGTGTGTGTTTGTGAGTGGCTCTTTCCAGAGAAAACAACGTCAACCCGACCTCCACCGCTCATCTTTATTATTTATTTATTTTATATTTTACCATCAAAAACACTTTTTAAAATTTAAATCATAAAACACTAATTCTTAAAGAATTAAAATTTATTCATATTGTTTTTTTTAAATTAAAAATATTAAAATTACGTTTTTTAATAAAATATTAAAAATAAAAAATTTAATTTATAT